AAGACTTTATTTGAATAAAAAGGGAAGTATAAAGTGTTTTTGGATGTTTTGGGATGGTTTGGACTGAAATGGGAGTAAACCACAGAACCCTCGGGTCAAACGGAGGTTGTTTTGGCCTTTCGGGTTTAAGGTCCTTTTGAATTCAACTAATATGGATCATAATATTTGAATATAAGTCCTTTGGTTCTTATGATAGTGTAAGGCGTGAGTGAGAGTTTCATGGGGCTAGGCTCGGGTATAACATCCTCCCGGTCTTCAAAAGAGTTTGCCCTCAGACTCAACGGATAATCAAGACCATCATATGGACTAAGGTCTCTCTTATTGAACGTGGCAGAAACTCCATCACTTCTATTGAGAGCAACCGCGTAGGCACTGTTTTTGACCTTGGCTACCACTTTAAATGGACCATCGTCTCGGGGTTGAAGCTTTGCCTTCCGTTTGTTAGAGAAATGCTCTCTTTGCACATGGACCCACACTAGGTCTCCGGGCTGAAAGTAGATGCGGCTTTTAACCTCATTTCTATTCTCAATTTTTTTACGAGTCTTACGATAAAACTCGGAGGTTTCTTGTATTCCTTCATCACATGGAACCTGCAAAAACTTAACAAACTTGGTATAAGGTACTGTTAGTGAAGATAGCCTTCGAGGTGAGGCTCCTGGATCTTGGCTCATGACTCCACTTTGAGTCTTCTTCTCATAAAACTTTTGGGGAGTTAAACGAGTGTCTTTCTCTTCTTTAGGACGACACATGGGGCTGATAGTTGGCACATATATGTTTGTCAATTCCTTTTTCTTCATAAGGGATGAGCATGTGTCTTCATATCCATTAAGAGAAACAATGGGATCAAATACCCACGGCTTTCCTTGATTTGGGCAGTGGATTGAATATGATCTTGGGAAAGACACCGGATTGATGGGAAGCACCACAACCATTGCTTTGGGTATCACCTTGACACAACTTCCTTTCGTGGTGATAAACAGACCATCCTCCTTTTGGTTAGCCAAATGAGTATGAGAATGGGCCAAACTACTCAATAGCCTATCAATGACCAGGAGTTCATCTTCATCTTGGCCTAGACACTTAACATCTTCTTGTCCTTCCTTTTGTCCCAAAGATTCTGTTTTCTCTTCATTCTTGACCAAGGAATTTTGATTCTTTCTTGGACATTCAAAAGCATAATGACCAATCTTTTGACAATGGAAGCAATGAGATTTCTTCGGAATGGTTGGGCTGGATTTTGGTGGGATTGTGACCATGTCATTTGGTGAAGAGGCTATGGTTTTGGGAGGATTTTGAGCCATGAGGGTGAAGGAGGTTCCTGGGATGCTTTGGGTAGTTTGTGGGAAGGCTATAGAAGTGGTTTTAGGAGAGTTTTGGGGCAAAGGTGTTGAAATGGTGTTGGGATCATTTTGGACAGTAGCTAGGGAAGGTAAAGAGGTGGTTTGAGTTGGGTTTTTGAGTAGATGAGAAGGAATTGAATGAGAGATGTTTTGGACAGCATGAATGCAAGGTAAAGAGGGGAATTTAGAGGGAGTTTGAGTTTTGAAGGTGGTGGTGGCTTTGGGAGTGTTTTGGGCAGCTTGGGAAGTTTCTAAAGGTTGGGATTTAGAGGTGGTTAAGGGCGTGGGAGATATGGTGATTTGGAGTGGCTTTTGGAAACTTTGTTGTGAGGGCAGTGGCAATGCTTTGGAAGGATTTTTGGGTGTAAAAGTGAGTGTTTTTGGCTACCTGGTGGATATGATCTTTGGAAGAAAATCTTTTAGTTAAGAGCTTTCATAGCTTCTCCCAAGTTTTCACCTTAGCTTTTCCTTGGAGCTTTCGTTTTGCAGCAACGCTAGCCCACCAAGTGGAGGCATGTTTTTGAAACTTCGCCACGACTAGCTTAGCCTTCTTGTCTTCGGGTATGTCTTTGAGTGTAAAGACGTGTTCAACCTTAGCTAACCATTTTAAGAACTTCTCCGGGTCATTCCTTCCTTCAAACGTGGGGATATCCACAGAATTTTTGAACTCTCCAATCTTCTTCATCAAAAGATCAAGCTCTTTCTTTAGTTTCTTTTGATCAGCAGCTAGATCTTCATGGGACATATTTTGGATGGTGTGAGACATACTTTGGTGGCTTTGAAAGGTTAGGATAAGGAAGGGCAGTAGCTATGGATTAAATGATCAAAAGGGAAAAAAAGGTGTTGTAGGGGCTGGTTTTTGGGCAGCAAGGAATGATGAAAGGGAGATGGTTTGTTGAGGAGAGATTGTTGGGTGGTTTGGATGAACAAAAGAGAAAGGAGAGGGGATTTTCCTGCAGCTGGTTGGTTGGCTTGGTTTTTGGGTGGTTTGGCGTGGGGTTGGCTGAAGTAAACAAGGTGGTGGTGGTGGGTTTTGGGTGTTTCTTTGGCCAAAGTAGCAAGGTTGCCAGGCTGTTGGCAGAGTTGCGTTCTTAACTTTGGATGGACGTATCTCACGAACCGTAACTCGGAATTGAGTGAAATCAGCGGCCAGACGAAGATAAAAGGATAAACTTCCAAACTGGAAAGTTTCACTTTGAAATCAGTTTTGCACCTTCCCCCGTGATCACTTCTTTGGGACTGAAATTTTCAGGAGCAATTTTCAGCAGTCTTGTTTTTGTGCAAGGTGAGTGAAGCTGGTCCTCCGGGTAATCGTCGAGACTTGAGAAAGTCGTCGAAGTTGAGCTCTGATACCAAATGTTAGGGGTGAACCGGGGGGTCTTATCAAGTTGATGTTTTTAGGCTTGGAAATGGGAAGAAAATGGAGGTGTATAAGTTGGGAATGGGCTGGACGAAATATGGAGATGGTGAGGAGTTCTTTTTGGTTTTTTTTGATAATTTGAAGAAGTGTGGAATATCAAGAGAGAAGGATGGGTTTAGGAAGAATGGGATAAATTCCAAATCAGGGATAAGAGATAAACACACTCTTATCTTAATTTGGAGCCAAATTAATACTATAGGATAAATTCACCTCTAGATTAACTTGGGGTTGAACTCTAGTATTTCATCAAGATATTACACACTCAATCAAATAACTAGAACCTAAAACTCACACTCAAGAGAACCACTCTTAAGATATAGAATTAGGAATTTGGCTAAAATAGCATCACACTATTTTAAGAGAATACTCAAA